CCAGTGTTAACTATCATCAGTCAAAATCAGAAATTCATCAAAATTGTCAAAAATAAATAAATGAAAAAATTAACGTTTGATTGACACGGACTGGGTTCGTAATTTTTTCCAGCCATGCCCGAGGACATGAACTTCGTATCTTGCGTCGTGTGCAAAAAGGGTGATAGGGAAGTCCTCACCTCATTATAGGACCGTAGTGATAAATCTTGCGTTCTACAATGAGCCACCATAGTTCGGAGCTCTGAAAACAAAACCTAAAACTGCACTTGTTCCGGAAGTGTGCCAAAACAATTAGCTTGATGAAACCAATCCAAAAGTATTAATGTATATCAATGGTCCACTTGTACTGTCACTACAAACTTGTACTGTCACTACAAACTTGCCGCCTCTTTCCCACAGAAGGAGATGGGAGCCGTTGATTGGCCGTGTTGAGTGAGGAGCACGGGAGGGAGTCTTGTCGGAAACGAGACACGACGGACGCTCGATTTTTGGACGTGTGGCAACTTTGCTGTTGAACTGACTGGAACGCGTGGAGACTTTACTATTTTTCTTCGTAGGAAAATGAACGGTGACTAATTTGATTTCTCAATATTTCCGTGAGTGCTGGACACGATGGACACTGTCTGACTCCAGAAGTACTTGTAGCCTTTTACGACAGCACTACGCCACTACAAAACAGCACCATAAACAAAAAGTTGATTTAAATTCGTTCAATAGACTCACACTTTAAATGATAGATTTCAGTTTTCCTTTAGTGTTTTATTTTATTCTAAATCCAAAGGGACACTTTCTCGCAAATCCCTTTTGGAGATTCTCTGGCTTCAGTTATTCGTATGTGGCGGTTGGTAACGAGAGAATAAAAGAAGGTCTTCGGAGAGCGGTTACGATTGGCGGGTTGTGATTGGTGGAGCATGCAATCTCCCGGCTTTTGAAATTTGTTGTTATTGTTCACGGGTTGTTTTCGTTTCAGTTCGGTTTTATTTTGTACGTGTGTTGTCTTAGTCTTAGGCGTTTGCATGGTAATAGCAGAAAGTATATTGTGAACCTTTCGAGTAATTCTGGAATATGAAACAAGTGACGATGAGCGTGTGTTATTTCTAAAACTTCATGCTCTACGTTTTGTGTTGGAAACATAAGTTTGCCATCAGGGCGTTAAGTTAACCGCCAATGCAAAAATTTCATCATGTACAACCTCGACGTTGATGTTCCGAAAGAAGAATTGCACAATGCTATTATCCAGGAACTTCGTCTTCTTGGGTTAAAAAATGGCCTGATTCCTAAGCGGACTAATAAAACTCATCAGGTAAATTTTCATGAATGTTACTTCACGTATGCTGTGTTGACATTTTCTTTCACGAACTGAATAAAAAATCTACTGAAATGTTAAGTATACTATTTTATTGCAAATTTTTGAATTTTTTAAGTAATCTGTTTTATTACTTTCAGTACCCCAAAGGCGCGAGTAACCGTGGAATTGTTTTTCGCAAGCCACTTCAGCTCTTGTCATCAAGAATAGTTCAGCTACAATCTGGAGTAGAAGCTGAGGTCCCTAACATTATCCAGGAAATAAGTTGCTGTATTGTTAAACAAGCGGGCACTGAAGGAATTTTTCGAAAAGCAGGATCAACTGCTCGACAGAAAGAAATCAGGGTAATATGTCTTTCATAATATTACACTACATTTTACCGTACTCTTTCACTTTTAATTACATACTGTTCATATCAATGTGTTATTCTAAGTTTTATTGAATCTTCCTTTTTTTCCAGGCTGTGTTGGACCAGGGCCAGAAAGTTCAGTTCTCTCAACATCATGTAATTGATGTTGCCAACATATTAAAATTTTTCTTGCGTGAATTACCGGAGCCTGTGCTGCCCTTTGCGTATCATGATTTATTTCTTCATTGTTTGTTGTTGGATGATACTGCTGGTGCAGCCCTCCTTGTTAGTCTTCTGTTGCCAAGACCCCATCTCCATGTTTTAGCATATTTGATGGAGGTAGGAGCAATTGTTCTTTTATCACCCATCAGCTTGTCGCTGTTGTTTCTATCTGACCGTTTGTTCCTTCTTTTCAGTTCTTCCATCTAATATCTAGATTGAGTGAATCAAACAAAATGAATATAAGCAATTTAGCTATTGTTGTAGCTCCATCACTAATGCCAGTTTCAGAAAAGGTGTCAGTTGTTCAGAACCCCCAGCGAATCGGTGCTCATGTTCGCATTATTGAGGTATGTGTGACTTATTTTTCTTGCAGTGTTTGGATAGTTACTGAGATACTTAACAAATCCCTTCTTCCTTGAAGGTGTTAATGTCTAATGCTGAGCGAATAGGTGTATTGCCAGATGGTGTTGTGGGTAAGTTGTCTCTCACACCCTCAGTTTCTAACATGTCATTGGCAAGTGAGGATCACACTAGTGGTTTGACATTTTCAATGAAAAAGAAAAGAAGGCGCAGTGGTTCACTGACAAGTAAGTATTGTATCCAAATGTTAACGGTGTGTTATAAATAAATATAAGAAACCTAGTATGGCCTCTTTTTTATGCTCAATCAAATTTCTAGGAATGTTTAATGGATTGAAAAAAATTGTAGCTGGGAAACCCTCTCCTGGAACAGAAACTGACTGTTCAGGAATGGAGGAGGAAATAGCGCTTGTTTCTTCAACAACAGACCTCTCAACACCATGTGTCAAATCTGCTAAAAAGCGGAAGGCCTTAGATGCAACCTCTGCCTTTTCCAGTAAAAAGAAGTATGTTAAACTATTTTTTAGAACTTCCACCATTAAATTTTGACTTCTAACATTTTGAAATTTAATTTTAATTTCTGCAGGAGGGATGTTTTAATGGCTCTTCCTCAAAGTACAGCTTTAGCAGACACTCCATTTAAGAAGAGTTCAAATACTGCACTAGACTCTGGTGAGACTCCTCGGGTTTGTCCTCACCCAAAGTAAGTGTTGAATTTTAATTTGTGTATTTTCTTTACATTCATTTCGACTTCTCTTAATCTGTGATTTCGTTGCAGTCCTCCAAGTAATCTCAAAAGCAAATCCAAGAGTCCTCAGAAAACAAAACACCGCAAATTCTTTCCATCTAGAACCAATTCTGAGTCGTAAGTAAAATGATTAGTAGTTATTGAGTTTTAAAATTTTTGAAACATTGCGGGGTGATGTTTCTTGAACATTTTGCAAAAGAGAATCTTCTCTGTTTTTCAGAGATAACCGTAGAATTGGAACCAGCTCTAAAAAAGGCCTTTCGGGTGTCAGCAGTTTTGTTATCAAGAAGCAGGTAATATTTATTGCATCCCTGACCTCAATTCTCTGTAGTACCTTCCAACTCATTTAAATTCTATTTCCAGAAAAATCGTGCAGATCGCCATTCAACAAGTGGAAACTTTCTGGAGCGAAGCTGGAGTGCAGTTAGCAGCAGCAGTTGGGGCCGCAAAAAGTTACGGCAATCTGATCAAACTCGTCTTAGTCTTCTCTCCACTTCATCAGCCGCTCCTCTTGAAAGTGATTCAAGCCATGATGCGGATATAGGGATTGACCTCAGCCATGAGGATCCCTTTGATACAAGCCAAAGTGACTTTGTTCATGTTCCAAAGAGTGAATATGAAGACTTAAAATGTCGACTCTCTGCCATTGAATCATGTATCTCTCATGAATTCAGTAGCGTTTCTACCTCTGAAAGCAAAACTAGTCCTGATCCTCTGAATGCAGCAAACACTCCTCTTGCTGTACAGAATGTCTATGAGAAAACTTTAGAAGATGCTGACACTGCCAAAGATGCTTCAACTGACATACTTGCTAAACGTCTTAGTAGGGAGCTTAAGATTCGCCGATCGAGTGATTGTAAAGTAATAAGGTCTCCAAGTGCCCGTAAAATAGGATCCATTCGCCGCAGATCTCGGGAAAGGCAGAGTCCATCTGTCCGACGGGAGTTGCGCAGAAACAAGTCGTGGCACATGATGCAGCGGCCAGTCAATGTGGCGCTGGCGACTCCCTTATCAGCGGTAGATTTACCGTCGGCCCAAAACAGTCGTCTACGCCGCGGCCGTCCGAACACTGTGTTCTCTGGGCTGCCGCACCCGACACCCAATCGCATCAGCAAGGAAATTAAAAATGATGATATCATCCAAATATTGGGTGCTGATAATTCTCCTGTCACCCGCAGCCAGGCTCGCCGAGCGTCGTCATTCCATGGTAGTGAAGTCACATCTCCTTCACTGCCATCATATAAAAAATGCAGGAGTCAGGTCAATTTAGCAAAAGCTGCATTATTAGCTCATGCTCAACAGAAAAATAAAGGAAGTATGGATCATGATGAAAAATGGCGAGATGCTCAAGAGCTACTCAGTTCCTCCAAAGATTTGCTCAGTGGTGTACCTGCAACAGGAAGAGAATCTATTGCAAAACTTCGTAGTGAAAATGCTGGAAAAGTTCTTGCCACTGCAAAACTTTTTAATGCCAGTGCTGACGTTCCAAAGCAAGTAGAGACAAGGAGAAGCAAGATCCATGAAACATTCCCAACACAAACTAGTCTGAGTAACAGTCAAGCAGAAACAACAATGGAATGTACATCAGGAAGTTCACATTATGGAAAGGAGCAAGAACTAACAGAGAAAACTGCATTGAACAGAACAAAGACTGACTCAAACCTGTCTAACCATGCGTTATCAGGTAAAAATTGTTCATCTTCTAAATCCACCATTACCAACAAGAAACTAAATGGAGAGAAAAGCCCCGCTGTGATGTCTCATACTAGAAAGTTGAGATTAAAGACTTCACCTACACAATCTCCAGCAGCTCGTCCTACTAATAGTAAAGTGAAGAAACATAGTAGTATGAAAACTGATAGAGTTGCTCATAGTCAACCAGTGAAGCGGAATCTTTCAGTTCCTGTAGAGCTTCTTGACAAGGGCAAAGAAAACCAAGTTGATAAATCGTTTTCTAATGTTTCTCCACTTTCCAGGGGCTTATCACCCCAGGGATTAAAGGAATCAGTACCTCTCACTGAAAGAATTCAGAGGATATCTGTATCCCCCTTGAAAGATTGTAACAGAATCACTGTACAATCGTCACATCATCAGGTCACGAAGTATTCCTCAGTAATCCCATGTACTCCAAACATAAAACAACCCCTCACTGCTCTTACTCCACGACGCAAAGCATTCACACCACAAAGTGTACGAGGCTTCACTGGTCATACACCACTGAAAGTTTTAGCAGCACCTTCAATAACTCCCATTCACTTGAGTCAGCAACGTTCCTCTCGCCTTCAGCATCATTCTTCATCTATTAAAGCTGTATCAAGGAGCATCAAACCCTGTAACTAAATTTGGCTGTGTATAATGTTTATTCTTTCTATTGTACCTCTTTCTTAGCAAAGGAAATGCATTTGTAGTGATTCTTTTAGTTGTTCTTAGTTACAGTGGAGGTATCAAAACTTGTTTATTAATAGATGGAGTTTTTAAAAAATATTACTTTGTACACTTGACTCGTATCATTGGAAACTGCTCTGCAGAATTAATTTTCATTTCTATGATTTTTTGTATTTAAACATACCTAGGCTTAACCATGTATTTTAAATTACCGTGCTGTCAGTCCTTTTGTTTTGTAAAATTTAGTTTTATTTTTGTGTGTTTATGTGTGAGTTTTTCTGAATGTGTATCTTGTATTTTATCCTCAAAATAAAGATGAAAATTTTATCTAGATCACGCTCAGGTTTTATTTTATTTATTAGGTGCAAGAGTTTTTTTTTATCAGAGGGAGAGAGAGAACTTCTCAGTTTTCTTGGCATGAGATGGTTGTAAGAGAGATACGGTTTGAGATCGAGCAGTAAGGACAACCGTTTTGTTTTTCCCTCCCACTGTTTGAACGATAGCTCAACGGAGAAGTCATGATGGAGTCGATCAAGGGGAAGTCGTGGGCTGGACTCCTACTCATTTACGCAAACAACTCGTCTACATTAGATATAGATCTCTATTATTTTCAAACATCCACATTTCGGTGGTCACGTCTGAAAATGTGGAAAAGTCTCATGTTTTGCGTCCCCGAGGGATATCGTGAATTTTTGTTTGCAAGGTTTCCGCTCCCGTTAGGTTCTTTTCAAGCGCTCGAACGCGTCACCCAGAGCGAAGGCGAACTCGTTCGATGCGACTCAATCGATATCGACATTGAATTTGAAAGCGCCCGATTCGTATGTTGTTTTGGTTTGTATCAAGTTCTGATTAATGTCATCATTGTTTATATTTTGATAATGATTTGATGATTGCTCGAAAAACAATATATGCTGACGCAACCTAGTACTGTGGCTTTACTTCTTCTTGTAGGTTATGATATAGTTTCTGTGTATCAATATCTTTCAATGTTTTCTGTCTGTATTCATTTGTATACAATAATTTTCTGCTTAATTGATTTAACGTTTAGTTACTTCATTTCAGCGTGTATACAGTCCTTAGATATCTGTGTTCATAGTTCTGTTGTATTATCTAAACACAATGTTAGAGTGCACTCAATTAACTTTATCATCTTGCTTATACTGAGTGCTGACAATGAATGTACTACGTTTACAGATGCCATTTTAGAACTTTACCAGAGACATGGGGGAGCCCTCAGTCCAGAATATGTTGACCCGCCTTATGGAGGAGAAACATACCTTTACCTATAAGAAATTAGTGGTGCCAATGTCAATGAGAAGTCCTTATTGGAAATACTATGGTTTCCCAGCCACTGAGGATGGAGACATTATAACAAAGGTGACATAGCAGCAAATGTCATAGCTAATAGTCAACATTAGTTTTTGACAATAACACATATGTTCTTATCTTATTTTCAGGTGAAGATTGTTTGCGTTTTGTGTAAAGCCCAGCTAGCTTACAACAAAAATACCAGCAATCTGCGCATGCATCTTCAAAATAGACATTCTAAGGAATTAATGGAATTAGTTGCTGAACATCCCCCAGAAACACGTCCAAGCCCCAAGGTAGTATTGAAACATCAGGGTCAGCTATCTTCCTGCATCATAATCTTATTGTCAATCTTGGTATCTGATTTTAGCAATTAGCTGCGCAGGCACAAGCAGACCATGAAATAACATCAATCAGACACACAAGTCCCCATTCTAAAACACCTAAACGTACTAAGTATCACCGGTCTTTAGAAAATACTGACAGTGGCTTTACTAAACAAGGAAATGTTTATTTTACCCAAGCGGATGGAAGTATTGAAATCGATGGGGACTTGCAGTTTATGTCAGATCCAAATATATCTATAAGCAATTTCACAGAAGACGAGGAGGCCAGCAGCACCATTCAAATTCTTGGGTCAACCAGTGGAAATAATTCAAACGTTGTTTTACAACATGTAAGGCACTTTTCTTTGTTTTGTCCTCTATTTTGAGTATTTATATCAAATAGTTTTTGTATCAAGTCACAATATTCATTTGTCTTCCAGGTTGAAAGCAATAAGAACATTTCAGATGCAATCGCAGAATATTTAATATTAGATCTTCAGCATCCTGATGTTGTAGAGGGAAGGGGGTTCCAACGACTTATAGCTACTCTTCGCTCACCTTGTGAAATTCCTAGTAGAGGAAGGCTTGTAGATGAAATTTTACCATCAATGCAATGTCACCTCAAGGAGACAGAGCAAGCATATTTACAGCTATTTAATGGTGACTATGGAATCACAATAGAAGAGTGGTCATCTCACAATGGTAAAAGATTTGTATGCTATGACGCTTTGTGATAGGTATTCAGACAATTTAAAATTATTTTTTTATTTATTTCAGATGAAATTTTTTTGACTTTTGGCTTACATTATGAACACAAAACTGAGCCTCAGTTAGAGTCCAGAGTTTTGTCAACTGTACATTGTCCCAGTGGGACAAATGGATTAGATTTGTATGACTACTGGATGGTCTTTATTGATGCTTTGCTATCTGAATGGCATATAAATCCTAGCAAAGTTACTGCAATTTTAATTGCAACTAGTCAAACTGAACTTATACAAGTACTTGCAAGCAAAAATTTTACACTAGTTCCATGCCTAATGTATTCACTTCAGGTAAATTGTACCTTTATATTTTTGTTCAAGATTATGTAGGGTTTTACTTTCATTAGTTATTCATTAAAGTGTTTGACCTTTTCACATTTAGGAGTGTGCAACGTACCTGTTTTCCCTCCCTGAAGTTAGTCCAGTGCTGAACAAATGCAGGACTCTCCTTGGCCTTGTGCATAGGCACCCCACGGCACTTGCGTCACTACGCATGCAAGAACCTGAACTCCAGGTGTGCTTCTATATTTCTATTTTTAATTTTTACATTAGTTTTTGTTTAAGTGTATCTACCTCTCACATGCAATTACTGAACTTTTAAAATAAGAATGTTTATATTTTCAGGTTGATGAAGCTTTAGCTACTGATTTACCAGCCATCTGGATGACAACGTACCAAATGCTAGAGCAGCTCTCTTTACGACGAGCAGTATTTCCAAGTGTATTGGAAAATGTAACAGAGTTATCTTCTGAACAGCGTTTGCAATTGCTACTAACAGAAGATGACTGGGGTACTGTTGATGATGTTGTTGCAGCTCTAGGTCCATTCAAGGTGCATTAATTTTTGAGACAGCTGTTTTTAATTTTAAAAGTTTTCCAATTTCTCTTGTTAACTAGTATTGTGGGTTTTCAGGTTGCTGTTCTCACCTTGAGTGAAGAACGCTTCCCTCTCTTATCATTATTAGAACCATTGTTGTGGCAACTTTGCAGTTCTCATCTGCAATCAAAAGAGGGTGATACAATTTTGGCTATCAGATTGAAAGAGATTCTTCGTGAAAATTTGGCATCAAAGTAAGACTAGTTTTCTATTATTATTTTTCTTGTAATCAATGTTGGAAGAGGGTGACTAGCCTCTCCTTATGTTGGTTCGTGTATAGGGTTCTCACCTCCCACACTCTCATTTCTGCACCCCTAAATCAGTAGATACCAGTCTTGTGATGATTGTGATCGTATGAATTTTGTGCTTTTCTACATCAGGTATATCAATGAAGACGTCAGAACTCTTTTGAGGACTTCAACTATGCTTGATCCAAGATTTAAAACTCTTGGATATGCTGATGATGGCATCAAAGAGGATGTATATGAGAGAATTCTGAAGTCCTTGGAGGAAATATTTGAACAGTTTCCATCAAGTCAGGATTCATTAAGCACGCCTCACAAGAAACCACGTTTGTCAGGTAACTTAATCATAGGAATGTTATTTCCTTATGCATGTCTTGCTCATAATGCATCATGATAGCCCTCTTATTCCATTCTGCAGGAATGGAGCTACTTCTTGGAAATGTGTGTGAAATTAAAGGGAATGTGGGCATTAGTGATAAAGCCAAACTGGAACTGGAACAGTTTAAATCTGAAACTAGTGCTCCACTTGACGCCTGTCCTATGCAGTGGTGGCAACTTGGTTCAGCTAAATGCCCACATCTAGTGTACCTGGCACGCCGTTACCTGAGCTTGCCAGCTGCTGTAATGCCAGGATACCGTATTCCACTACCACAAGCCCTATCATTTCATGAGCGTAGGAAAATTCTTCCACCAGATCTAGCAGATACCTATTTGTTCCTAAATACAAATTATCAAGGATGATGTCAGTTTTGCAAATTAGGTTTCCCAACTTCCTTCCCTATATATTCTACATTTGAAATTGTATTCTTGTCTCAGTGTTAGATGGTTTCTGCCCTTCCATAATTAGGAACTTGCACAAAATTGTCATTTGTGCTAAATTGTAATGTGTTTTGCAAGTTAATTTGTTTTTGTTTTGTTGTTTTTAAAACTATTAATGTATATATTCACAAACTAAGCTGGGTATAGTTGATTTTCACCTGTATTTTGTTTCATGAGCAATCACTATTATTCCCTAGTGAAAATTATTAATTTTTCTCCAATAAATATCAAATCTAAGTAGTTCAGAAAATTAGCCTCATGCTGCTCTTTGTAAATAGATGTATAGTTTAGAAATATCTTTTTAATGAAAAGGAATCCCATCAATTGACTAATATGTTCAAATTGAATTTCATTTAAGTATTTGACTAAATTTTATTTATTGTTGACTTTAATAATGAAATGAAATTAGAGCACCTTTATCATCTGATTCCACATTGAATTGGATTGGGAGTTTGTGTCAATGCACCGCTATACTAGCGAGAGTCCAATCAGCATCCTTGTAGAAGCGAGGATCACTTATGCGAAGAACGGCTCTCTTGTATAGATGATAGTATAAAACAGCAACTGTAAATAAAATTTTATTTCAACCAAGTTAAGATAGTAACAAAATTTATTTTTCATCCACCCTCATCAATCGGTATTTACCTGATCTTTGTACAACATACAATGTATGTAACCCTTCAGTCCACACATATGAAAGGGACTGGCTCCACCTCATATTTAAACTCCAACTGTGGTACGCAATTGTAAGAGTCAAATAGAATAACATGATGTAAATTACTGCACAAAATTTGTTGTAGATTAAGTACACAAGGCCAGCCTGAAAATATATAGAAAATATGAGTCTTGGTTTGTTGTTTGTTGTCATCTAATTCATTTAAGTTGAGCTGACCTGGAAGAGGTACGTTGAAAAAAAAGATAAAAGTAATGTAGTGAATGCAAATATAAGACACAAATCTTGAATCCTGTAGTGAAAATATGGAATGACAGATCAATAATTATAAACTAGAAAAGATGGTAAAAAATGAAAATAACTGATACAATTCTTCTGATATCATACACATAAAATATTAGAAGCAAATGACTGTCATAGCGTAAAAATTCTGAAAAAGAGTTCATAAACAAATCTGTGATTATAAGAAAAAACTGAACTGTCATAAGAACAGTGTATCTTGTGCTAGTTGTCTGCATTTCTAGCTAGAAAAAAAAAAAGAAATACAGCAGCTAGGCAGCGCCAAAATGAAAAACTGTTTAGATGGACATGTTTGTTTACTAACACACACTTGACAACGGTTGCTAAGGAAGTGGTGAGCGAAGTCCACTCTCCCGCCCAAATTTAAACCTGCCTCCGTGTGACCATCGTTCTGTTCTTACGTTATCCTGAGCCTGAGATGATAAAAGGAAGGAAAAGGGAAAAGGTGTCTCGTCGGCCGACGGCTACCTCGAAAACTAATTTTGAGCTAGCGCGGATGAGTTTCGGCAATACTGGCCGAAGATTCGTTAGGAGGCGGGTCGAAGTGTCAAATTAGGTGTGTCAACATGGTACATATGTGGAAAATGAAAATAGTCACAGTAGCCAGGACTGTTTTAATGAATTTATTTTTAATGTCAACAAATTTCAAAAAATTTATTTGATGACAGATGTCAAATACAATTTCACCAGTACGACTTTTAAAACCTTAAAACACCTTTGATTTCAATAAACACGAGTAACAAAATAAGTGGTACACAACAAAGGCCATGAAAATGTTTTGGGCCCAATATTCCTGAATGATGGTTCAGCAATGATTTGGGTATCCAACATCAGATTAAATAAAAATTAATAATTGGGGCTTTCATTATTCATCAACAACTTTACACACAATAATATAGCGTTCAACACCAGCAAATTCATAAATATTATAGGAAAAAGCCTCTTTTGTATTCTCTTAAGCAAATATAACAGAAAGACTAAATTCATGGTATGGAACCATAAATACTTGATAGCCCTGATGGTAAATTGGAACAGCCTTCATAAGCTTTAAGGTCCATAATTGGCACCATTTCTTTAACCTTTCTGGCATTATTTAGGTCTGAAGAACTATACCACACAATTTGTTTAGACATATTTAGCTACTTCTTTCCATATTCTGTGAGTTAACTTTTCTAGTATTCTAAACATTCTTGTATTATTTCCAACTCATGCTATGCCATCAAAACCCATTGCATTTACTGAAAAGCAATAAAAACAATGGCACCGAACTCTAAACATACACGAGCCAGATAAATATCCAAACAAACATAGA